CATACTGATCTACATAATACTGATGTTTATACATAGTGTAGTGTATGACAACATACTGCTTTACATAATGCTGTTGGCTATACATAGTGTAGTGTATGACAACATACTGATTTACATAATACTGATGTTTATACATAGTGTAGTGTATGACAACATACTGATTTACATAATACTGATGTTTATACATAGTGTAGTGTATGACAACACTGATTTACATAATACTGATGGCTATACATAGTGTAGTGTATGACAACATACTGATCTACATAATACTGATGTTTATACATAGTGTAGTGTATGACAACATACTGATTTACATAATGCTGTTGGCTATACATAGTGTAGTGTATGACAACATACTGATTTACATAATACTGATGTTTATACATAGTGTAGTGTATGACAACATACTGATCTATAATAATGCTGGTGGCTATACATATTGTAGTGTTATATTTTTTCCAGACACAATGGATTCTTCTGTGGATGAATTTGATGATCAAGTTTCTTTAGACGATGGTGATTTTAGTAATGACTCCGATGATGAAGATCATAAAGACAGGTGTGTAGTCATCAAACTTGCAGTTTGGCACAACAGTCTAGAATAGGGTGTCTTTTATTATAATATATGACAACAAACAACACAAGGGTCTGATGGTGTTAATGAGAACTGGCATGTAGTGCTGGAAGAGGATATAGTCATACTAAAGAAATTGAACATTCACCATTTTGAAACTAGGTGTGTGATGGTTATGCTGTTCTGGTGAAGTAAACATGAGCAAATTGCATGCTTAAATTGCTGACCCCTAACCCTGCCTACTCCCAGTTGAGATAAGTGCTCCTGTTGGGTATTTCCAGTTAAAGTTGAAGGTGCACCAGTCCTCCAATCAAAACAATGGCCTCTACCAACTCCTGGGGATATGCCATCTCGATGCCTTTTTTTGTTGTAACTAATATATTAAATATATGGTGGATGGCTATGTTTTAAAAATACTAATTTATTATAGGATTGCAACTAACCAGCTAACACATAGTTCACTGTCACAATCAAGAAGACAGGCAGTGACTGGGTATAGGCGCAGGTAGGATGGACAGCAGCTGTGTATCTTCCATTCCTCCCCTGATAAGCATACCCAACACAGCATGTAATGGTTTTGTGTCAAGTAGTCACCAGTCAGCATGCTTTCCTGCCTAAATATTATATTTATTAATAAATGTTATAATAAAAAAATTCTGTTTGTTTTTGACGCATGGAGGTATTTATAAATTACTATAGATTGGAATAAACGATGATGTTGTATTCTTTATTTTCATCTGTTTTATCATATTCTCACCAATTACCATTCCTGTTACCATTTATGTGTTTGCACTATTAGAAACGTAACTCCTGGTACTGAGCTGAACATTTTTTTTGCCGATGTTCTCCAATCTAATCTATTTCAACAGGTCTCATACTACAATTAAACTTCTCTGAAACAACAGTGTGAAAACCTGACTAATTTACATATAGTGTAAAATTACAACATTAAATATGTCTAGTTTTTACCTACATGTAAGTGCATGTATTGTATTATAGCAAATATGGCATTGTGATTTTAAATATTACTGAAATGTGTATAGTAAATCAGATGTTATTTATGTTATTTATTTTAGTGCTGATATGAATGATATTTATTTAGATGAAGCTGGTGATGTGAGTGTACCTGTACCTGGTGATGTATATGCTGCTGTACTCAGAGAAGATCCACTCACATTGGCAGCTAGAGGTATGTACTTATAGCGAGGGAGTCATCACCTACGCATGCGTCAGATGGCCATAGCATGTCATTGTTTACAAGCATCTACCCATGAGCCTTTGCGTTTTTAGCGT